GAATCAATTTCTAATTTGCACATTTTCTTTTTTTCCAATCTCTTGCCACCTTTCAATAAATAACATTTGAAATGCATGCAGCATGCATAACCTTTTGCAATATCAATTTTGAGAAAAACTATATATCATCATAATATGCCATTTGGATACATTAAAAAAGAAACAACTATTCTCATTTCTCATATTTTAAAATAAAATAATTCGGAAAAAGTTAATAACCATATATTTAGCATGTAAATAATATTTTGTTGATTATTTGATATGTGAATTTTTCATAATAAATAGTATTAGTAAAATAAATTATTTTAATTTAATATATTTTAAGGAATTTCTAAATTCAAAATAAAATGTTGTAAAATTTTTCAATTAAAAATTATTAGTTTAAGATTGAATTTTTTCTTTTAATTTTGTTTAAATATTAATTAATGAATTCTTTGTTTCATTGAAGTTATCATATAAAATAACATGGATAAGGTAAACGTATAATATATGATGTTACACGTTGTAATGTTATATAAATATTATACGCATAACATATATAACAACACATACAACGTGAATGTCACATATTTCTTACGTATTTCACGTTCCATATAAAATAACATTGATAAGGTAAACGTATAATATATGATGTTACACGTTGTAATGTTAAATAAATATTATACATATAACAAATACAACGTGTTATGCAACGTGAAACTCTAATGTCACACACTTTTTACGTGTTTTACGTGTTGAAAAATAATGAAAATAGTTGAGAAAAATGATAGTTACTAGGAAAAGATTTAAATTAATTAATTAAATGCATTACTTTCTTCTATCAAATTTTTATTGATAAAGGCGAATTCAAATTTCTTTTCCCTTTAAATAAATGAATGCTAAAACAATTCAATCATATTTTCATTCTCTAATTTTTGTATGAATTTAATTTTGTATGACAAAAAAGAAAAGAATTTTGCTGATAGGAAACAAAAAGAAATATCACAGAAAATAAGAAATGAAAAAATTTGAAAAATATTAATTGCTATTTTAATTTCGAAAATGCTTTAAGTAATTCCAAAGTTTGTTGGATAGGAATTTCTATGAAATTAATCAGAAAAATTTATTCAATGAAATTTCCTAGCATTTGATAATTACATGAATTTTATATGATAAACTTAATTTTATATCATTAATTATAGTTCTTCATTTTTTTTCGCAAAATTAACCTATTAAAATATTTCGTATAATTTTTGATGTCATATTATATGTTAAATATATCCGTTGAATAGAAGAAGAACATATCGATATGAATAACATATTTAACGAACAAATCAAACTTCAACGTTAAATTTCGAAATAAATATGGATATGAACAGCATATTTGATGGATAAATCAAACTTTAACGTCAAATTTCGAATTTAAAACTGCAAGTTTATTTCTATCAAATATAAACATACTTCAAGACATTTTGAAAAGAGTGAAGCCAATGAAAGAGATGGAAAAGAAGGAATGAAAAATGAAAAATTAACTTGATGTAATATAAGAAGCGATAGATCGAACATAGAAATTGGTGGAGATAATTGAAATTTAGTGAAGCTGAAAATTGATATAAGCAAAATGAAATGTTGATTCTAAAGGCTACAATTTTTAAATTACCGATAAAAAAAGATGTAGGCGTCATTAAATGCCTGATACCAAAATATGTCAATGTTTGGAAAAGTAACAGCGAATGATATCTATCTCATTGGTGAAAATCTTCTTTTCAAATGAACTACGAAAATAAAGATCAAATGATGGTGACGGTGATAATGAGTGACAATGATGAATGATGATGAATGATGATGATGATGATAATAGTGGTAATAATGATGATGATGATGAGTGATGATGACAATGATAATGGTGATGTTGAAGATAACGAGTGATGGTGATAATAATGATGATGATAATGATGATAATAGTGTTCATGACGATAATCTATGATTTGAATTATATATGCGAAATTGGGAAAAGATTTGAAAGGTAAACAAAAACAAAGGAAGTTAATAAAAATTCAATTGAAAAGAAAAGAAGTGAAAAAATTTTTATCCCAACCATCTCTCATTCTTCTTTCGCTTTACATTAATTCCATAAAATAAATCATTATTATTATCATCATTATCATCATTATCATTATCATCATTTCATAAAATAACGATTGAGTAAATAATAATTAGCGGAAATGTTAAAGTATTTTATTAGCAGCTGCACATAACAGTGATGCAAATATATAATTCTATGAAATGAAATACCGAAATTCTTCTTTATTTCATCTTTTTTTTCCTATTTATTTATTTTTATGAAAAATAAACATTCATTAGAAGAGAGAGGGAAAGAGAGAGAGAGAGAGAGAGAGAGAGCAAAAGGGCATAAGTTTTGTCTTCGTTTTTTTCCTATCTCATAATAGTTTATTTCATTTCAACATAACTAAAATAAATCATCTATGCTCGAAGTTATTTGATATCATTGCAAATAATATTTATTATCATTATATTATTGATATTTGATTGTTGCAAGTAAACAAATTAAATGATAAGCCAGTATATAATCAATTTTCCGGATACCATTATTTATCAGTTTAGTGATATTAATTTGATAAATTTGAAATAAAAAAAAGAAATGATATTTTGATAAAACATCACCGAAAATATGTTTGATGTTTACATCTATTAGTATGTTTGCATTTATTGTTTAAAATACATCGATTTGAAAAAATAAAAATTAAAGCAGTAAACGAATGAGTCATTTTTTAATTTCATACCTGTATTACTCTTATAATTATGGAACTTTCATACCTGTATTGCTCTTATAACTGTAGAACTTTCATACCTGTATTACTCTTACAATTGTAGAACTTTCATACTTGTATTACTCTTACAATTGTGGAACTTTCATACCTGTATTATTCTTACAATTGTAGAACTTTCATACCTGTATTACTCTTATAATTACTAATTGAATTCAAAGAGAGAATTTAAACTAATCGAATTCATCAACTACTATATAATAATTTTCCGGAATATGCTATAATATCACATTATCATTGTTGTACTATATTCACAAACATTTTAAAATATTGCCAGTTTAGGAAGCTATTAGATATGATCAAGAAAATGCTTCATGCTATTTCATAATTTAGCAATCAGAATATTTTAATTATGTTATCACAATTAAAATTATCATAATTTAAATTTCGAAATATGAATGAATGAATGATAATTTAAAAGAATTATTTTAATTATGTTATCACAATTGAAATTATCATAATTTAAATTTAGAAATATGAATGAATGATAATTTAAAAGAATTATTGAAATAAAATGCAGCAAATATATTTATAATAAAATGAATAAAATCATTTTACTCTATTACGAATGAGTCATTTTTAAATTTCATACCTGCATTACTATTTAAATTTCATACCTGTATTACATCTGCATTCTATTTGTATAATTACATTAAAATGATCCATTTCAAAAGTGATTATTTAATTTCTTTCTTTTGTTTTAAATAAAATACCGAAGTGGAAAAAATGAAGTGAACAATTCTGTAGCTATACAATATAATAGTTGAAATTGAATGGCGTAAAATGACATATGGGAGAGGTGGAAGGAGAGTATATACATATATATATATATATATAGTGATGACATTGATGTATTTCTCTGAAAAGAAGGTTGGAAAAGTTAAATTGGTTTGAAGAGGACACATATTATATGTATACACTCACATATACACACACATATATATACACTTCTCCATCATCTATCTAATTATCTCATAGAAAATAGGCTTATATGAAGGAGGAAAAGATGGATGAATTAATTAATGCTAAAGCATTATTGTTGTTCATTTTTAAAAATTGCTATTTCAAATTAGGAAAATGCGAGAAAAGCAATGAATTGAATCGAATTGAATTTAAAAAGTTATTTAAGTTCACAATAATTATTTAGAAAAGAAAAAGACAAAAAAGGTTGAATTTATTCAAATTTAAAATAATAATTTAAAAGAGGCAATAAGTAATGAATGTAATTAATACATAATATTTGAGTTTGTAAGAATTTTAAATTTATTAAATTTATATATTGCGATATATTCTTATATAGTATAAATTAGTTATTATAAAATAAATTATTCTTTAATAAATTTTGTGTTAGTTTCAAAAAAAAACACTTCATTAAATATTTATAAGTTTTGTTGATTTTTATAAGTTTTATTGATTTTATTGATTTTGAAAATTTTCAAGCAATGATAACTTATCATTGATAATAGCAGTAAAGACTATTATTAATAATAGCAGTAAAGACTATATTCATTCATCTCTACTATTTCATAATCAGTAAGTAATCAAATATAAATAGTTATCATTGTTGTTATCATTACTTGAAATATATATATTTCAAAATATATATATATTTAAATATACATATATATTTCAAGTAATGATAAGAACAATGATAACTATTTATATTTGATTCAATCAAGTAAGGATAACAACATAAATATATATTTCTCCATCATCTGTCTAATCAATATATAAATAAGTATAATATTATCCGAGAGCATCCATTCTTTTATAAACATGCATTTATTTCTAACTAATCACTGCTCTGTTAATATCTTATCTCGGAATGAATGTTTGAGAGGTTATACCGGGGAAAAATATTTGAGAACAGAAAACTTTTACTGAGTTTTTTTTTTAAGCATTCAATTTAAATAATAACTTGATAAAAATTTCTCAATAAGCTAATCATCAATTAAATTTATTTTACTTGTCTCTGTTCCATTTCTTATAAAAAATTAATCTTAGAGCTAAAAATGATATGAACGTAATAAAGTATAAATAAACTTTCTTCAAAAAAGTAAGTCTAGACTGAATAAAATTTAATTAAACTAATTGCTCGTGAAGTTTAAGTTACCGATTATATATAAAATTTTACTCTTACTTCCACTTTACATTTACAACATTTTATATTAGTCAGATAGTGAAAAATAAACAAACCTCATTACCATCCTGATCGGTGATAACATTAGAGCCATTGCTATTAGCTGGAAGACGAGGATGTGTTTTTAATTCTTGATGAGTTGAAAATTGACAAAATATTGTCCTGGAATGAGGAAGAAAAGTTTTTTGGTAAATTTTGACAAGTTTGCACGATTAAAAAAATTGTACAACCAACTTCCTTTGTTAATTAATTGGGAGTTCGAGTTTCTTCATTGATAAAAGTTTAACTTTTTATTGAATTATGTTAATTAGTTTTTCTTTTTTTAAATGGATATTTCGATTTTTAGTTAGATTGAAAAATTTAAAATAGAACAAAATATACTTTGTTCAATAAGCAAGCATTCGGAAAAATGGTATGAAATGTTTGATACCTATCACGAATAGCTACTGGACATGCTATATTAACAGTAACCAAAGTTTGAGCACTACGTTCATCCTCATATTCCACAAATGCCTAAAGAAAAAGAGATAGGATATGGATTTATAACAAAATTGAATATCCACTAAGAAGCAGACTTCATAAAGTTGCAAATAACGGCTAATTCAATTATTGATAAAAAAAATAAAGTTGCAAATAACGGCTAATTCAATTATTGATAATTAAAGATATAATCTTAAGTGGCAATCATTATTATTGTCTGTATCGTATAAACAATAATCGTATAAAACAAATGTAAATGTGCTAATTTGAAATTGTTCACACCTGATTCCTTCCTTTAAGTAATAAATAATTGACTAATTTTCCATAAGGCATACAAAAATGGACTAATTCCAGATCAGTCATATCAGATGGTATATTTCGAAGGTGTACCACACGTGAAATATGCTGTCGAAAATTACCACCAGTTGATGTTGCAGCAGCAGCCAACGAATCTGTAGCAATGATTTACTATGATTATTTGCTTTTTTTTTTTATAATGTAAATTCATCATAGCTATATTCATTGTTCGTTATTTATTATAATGTCAACAAATGATTATTATTTTCAGCATTTCATAAATGCAATAATAAATCAATTTTTTTCTGAACTCTTGAACTTTTGTTGATAAGAAAGATGTAAACTTTTGGTGATAAGAAAGATATAAACGTTTGATAATAAGAAAGATATACTGTTAGTAACAGTGAATGCTTGACTAAGAAGGGCCGAATTTTGCAAAAATTGATGTTCATTAGCAAATGCAACTGCGGAAAGAAGTTGCTGTTGCGTGGACGGTAATATCATACCACCAGTTGCTGTCAACAAATTCATTGAATCTAATTTAGCCTGAAATAATTCTTATGTTGATATTCTCAATTCATTGATGATTAGATTAACAGTTTTTCCAATTCCTTCTATTGCTATCAGTGGTTAGAAAAATACTGTTGAAAAAAAAAGAAATGGAACTAATTATAAATTAAACATACCTTTTTAGCTTCACTATCCAATGTAATGCCACATAAATTTGATGCTAACAAACTTCCACCACTAGTGGTTCCCGACAATGTCGTAAACAAATCATTTGGCCCACGCTAAAAGCAAAGCAAAAATGTTTTTTTTTCCCATATCAATTATTATAATATACAATTTGAGGAAAATCGATTGAGTAAACTAAATTGAAAGCTTTATCAAACGTTAACAAAACCTAAACCGTTGATTCCATTTTGTTTGTACAGCAGCATTTGCATCATCGTTTTAATCTACTTTTATCGTTGAAGAAGAATTTTCGAGAAAATAACAAGGGATCATCGTTTTTTGAAAATTAACATGAAGAAAAATGTCGTAAGATTTTTCTAATAGTTAAAATAGAAAGTTAAGCATTTAATTTGATCAATCAAAGAGTTTTTACATCTTATTTCATTTGTATTAGTTTTTCATCAAGTATTAAAAAAGTATTTACTTTTTAATGAACTGATGAATTTATTATCATTAAAATTTTAACTTCAAAACTTATCCTAAAATTGTCTTTTAGATGTGAAAAATTTTTTGAAAATTTAAAAATATTCATTACAGAATACTGGAATTTGAAAATGAACTTTGATATCGTTTATTTATAAGTGATCGCTAATAAATCATTGTAATTTTGTGGACAATCATTAAATTAAAATCGAAAAATTAACGTAATTAATAAGACGGGAAGAGATGTTTGCGGAAAGATAAATATTTGAATTAAAAGTATTAACGGTGAAGAATGAAATCATGAAGTGAGGAAATGGTGAAAAAATCGGGATTTATGGAAAAAAAATGAAACTTAAAAAATCCCCAATTTATCGTGGTATTTGTTAACGGAACCAAATATCCCGTAAATATACCAATAGCTCATCGATAGTTCGTTCACTAATAACATTCATGCAGACGAATTAATTTTCCCGTTTCGATTTTTCACCCGAACTCATCAATATTCTGCAGGTGGAGGAGAAAAAAAAGAAACCTAAAAGAAGAGAAAAAGAACTATTAAATGAATTAATTTCGCCGATGGCAATGAATAATTAATTGTTCATGCTTGCGTTGAAATCATTTGTATTTCTTAATCGACGTCGAACAACGTTGCGAATGAGTAATGGATACTGTTGTAATCGTGGATAAAAAAAACAGGTCATAGGTCAACATTAATGTTACCCTGCATTTTTGCATCATATTTTCCATACTTCATCAACATTCCGTGCAAAAATTACCACATCAAAAGAAATATTTTCAATTTTCAACAGATTGGAAATAATCTAACGTCCCATACACTTCCTTTAAATGTAATAGACGTAAAGAACAATGTTAAGAGAGACGTGTAATACACGTAAAAGAACTGAAAACAATATACGTAAAGAGAAACGTAAAAAGTGCACTTTTGATGATTGAAGTATTTTTGAAATATTTTCTTGAAACATTTTTATTCCAAGTATTAAAATAAAAAAATGCCGACTGAAATTTTTGAATGGTTTAGTCGGATTTGGTTTAATAAAATGATTGAGATATTTATGTAAATGTATATGATTATAGATCATGATTATGATAACGATATATAATTACTATCACTATAATTATCATCGACATCAAAACGACATAATAATTCTAATTGTGACAGTAATTAATGATTAATATCTTTTATTTATAGCTTATGTTCAGTTATAATAATGTCATATCGAAAAGTATCGTATATCGTTGTTGATTGTTAACAGTGATAACGGATAATAACTTTAATAAGTTAAGATTGTATCGATGATTAACAATGACCTCATGTTTTTTAGGTGTTTCATATTTGGCAGAGAAAAAATTATCACAAAATACAAAAAGTTGCTACGAATTGAATTTGATAATTGAATTTTTGATTTTGTAATACATTAAAAAGGAATGATATGATATTTCGATTATTGATTAAAGATATGATATGATATTTCGATTATTGATTAAAGATATGATATTTCGATTACCAATTAAAGTGTGACGAAAAAGAATCTCTTCCATTTAATGCAATTCAAAAAATTTTAGAAGCAAACAAATTCATTGTGACAAATTATTGCATTGAAATGATATTTGAATAACATTTGAAAATTCTTCAAAAAAGAAAAGAAAATAAAACCTTTTAAATAAACTGATAAAGAGAGAGAGAGAGAGAGGAAAAAGATGGAGAGAGAGAGAGAGAAAGAATGAGAAATAAACGAAAGAGTTAAAGAAAGGAAATTTTATGCTAATAAAATAAATTGTTGATTGGAAGAAGTAAAAGACGGATGAACGAACGTATCATAGAGATAATGAAATGCTCTAATGCAAGCTATCATCAAGCGAAATAATTGATAGAACTTAGAAGAAGAAATTCATTAAAAATCCTATTGAATAATAAGAATTGGAAATGATTGGAAATTAATAAGAATTAGAAATGAAATAATCGTAATATATGAATTTATAATGATATAAATATTTCTTAAAATTCAAACTATACCATAAGATTGGATATTGAAAAATGGCGAAGAAATACAATCTTAAATATAAAATTATAATTAAAAAGAAAGATGGTGAAAGAAACTAACAAAATATCTTTACAATAATCTTTCCAGTCAGGTTTAAATTCAAAAAGAAAAGCATTAAAATAATTCAATGAAAAAAACTAACAAATTTTGATTTCAAAATTAATAAATTCTTTATACTATTTCTATTGGCAATTTAATTTCATTAATAAAAATGTTCATTGGAAGTTAAAAAAATAATTGACAGCTTAGATTTCGATAATTTTTTATAGGATGCATTGCTTATATGGGTAAATTATATATGATAATTATATATATTTGAGCCGAAAAATTTTGCATAACTAATTTTTGATTTAGTAACCAATTTTTAATTAATAATTTAATAATCAAACAATAGATGGTAAAACTTCGAAAAATTGATGCTTTGTTCTTTTTTTCCTTTTGCTTTTAAGTATTGGAAATATAATAAAGTTTATAAAAACAAAATATAATTGATATTAAAATTATTTATTGGAAGTTCAAAAAATAATTGACAGCTTAGATTTCGGTAATTTTTTATAAGAAGAATTGTTTATGTGAGTAAATCATATATAACAAAATAATTTTATAATTAGAATAAATGATTGTGTAAATTAATAAAAGAGTTGTATCATGATGATTAATTACTCCGATCATTACATATCAAATATTTTGCATGTGTTTTAATAATTTTTATTATTCAAAATTGCAACTATTTTGCTCGATCAGAGCTGTTGCTTGTGATCGGTTAACATTAGAACAACACAATCAAACTTCTTAACATTTATCTTTAAATTATCCCATATATTGACTTTTGAGTGAGAGAGAGAGAGATTTAATAAACGATTAGTAACATGCATGTATCATCATGCATCGTAATAAATCATATGTTGCAATAAATTGCAATCATAAAATGTATCGTAATAAATCAATAACGTTTAATCTTAAGTATACGATATAATTGAATGAATTTTTGCTATGATAGTTCTTTTACAGCTTGATCTTTTATTAAATCCATCTGTAACACGCCTTTTTCTTAATGAAAAATTAGAAAAGAAATTAAATATCTCACCTTTGACATTACCACTAAGCGAATTTGATTTTTGTGGTTGAAAAAAACAGTATTGTAATTGCAGCGTAGTAATAATTATAGGAGGAAGAAGAAGGAATATATAGTAGCGATAGATAATGAAATATAGTTCAATTATTAGACTGTTGGACTAGAAACTTCAGGTATTTTTACTATATCATTCAGGTCAAAAGGTCAAAAGCAAATCAAATAGTTTTGAAAAAAAATTAATGAAATCAATAATAACACTTTGTTACTAGTAAATTTAATAGAATGCCGTAGAAATAGTATAAGTTGAAGAAGAATAATACATCAAGCGTAATAGACGCAATAGTAGCAGCAGCAATAGCAGTAATAGTTGTTGTTATTGTAGTAGTAGCTGCTGTTGTTATTGTAGTAGTAGTTGCAGTAGCTGTTGTTATTGTAGTAGTATTAGTAGTAGCAAATAATCTAATAGCGATAGTATTAACTGCTAATAATAATATTGATGATGATAGGAAAAGCGATAGCGATTTTGCAATCTTTCTCTTTCTTTTGTGATGATAGAATTGACGAAATTTCTCTTATTCACATCACAATTAGCGCTGTTTCCAAATTTAAGCAATTTGACACTAAAATTTCAAAAAATTAAAATAAAGAAATTTTAGAAAGAAAAATTTAAAAAAAGCAAAATTTATCAAAAATTACAAATATATCATAATAATCACATACGAAATCTCATTTTCAACAAACAAATAAACAAATAAACAAACAAACAAACAAATAAATAAACAAACAAACAAACAGTAATACAAAATAATGCTTATAAATGCATTTAACAAAATATCTCTTCAAATTGTCTAATAAAATAATTTCAATTGATTCAATAAAAATTAACAAAAGTTTGAAGTTATGAGCATTTCGTTCTTTCTTTTCTTCTTTTGAATCTTTCCGAAATTTTATTCTATCATAGCTTTTTTTTTAATGTCACATTTCAATGTCAAATCAGTTACTTTAAGCAATGCAACTAACTATATGTGATATCATAAATATGCAGAATTTATTATTAATACCAAATCAATCACTTTTAACAATGCTAACTAACTATACGTAACATTATAAATATGCAGAATTTATCAATATCAATTCTGTTACTTTAAGCGATTGCTAGCTAACTATACGCAACATTATAAATATGCAGAATTTCTCAATATCAAATCAGTTACTTTAAACAATTGCTAACTATACGTGTTATCATAAATATGCAGAATTTCTCAATATCAAATCGGTTACTTTAAACGACTGCTAACTATACGTGAATGACATCATAAATGTGCAGAATTTCTCAATATCAAATCAGTGCTTTAAACAATGCTAACCATAAGTGATATCATAAATATACAGAATTTCTCAATGCCAAATCAGGTACTTTAAACAATGCTAACCATACGTGATATCATAAATATGTAGAGTTTATCAATGCCAAATCAGGTACTTTAAACAATTGCTAACTATACATGAATGACATCATAAATGTGCAGAATAGAACTTTTGACAGCTCGACGATAAAACCAATACACACTAAAATGAGAATTTAAAAAAAAAGGAATTATTGATTGATATTGAAATACCTTTTTAGCATTTCTAATACAATTTTTTTCTCTCT